CGTCTTGGGCTGTTCCGTTTGAGAGTCCAGGGGAGCAGGGGAAACGGTTGCCTGTATATTCGTAGCCCCACTGTTATGTGTCTCTGGGTGTTAAATGAGGGAGGGGGGATAACGGGGAAGAGATGGAAAAGGAGCAAGAAGAAGAGATTGGATTTATACCCCACCCTTCACTACCCAGAGGTGTCTCAGAGCGGCTTACAATCTCCTTTCCCTTCCCACAACAGACACCCTGTGCGGTAGGCGGGGCTGAGAGACCTCTTTGGAGGACTGCCCTTGAGAGAACAGCTCTGAGAAAACTTGTGACTGACCCAAGGTCACCCAGCTGGCTTCATGCAGAGGAGGAGTGGGGAATCAAACCCAGTTCTCCAGATTAGAGTTGGCTGCTCTTAAGGAGAGGAGGAGGAGACTGGATTTATACCTCGCCCTTCACCACCTGAAGGAGTCCCAGAGCGACTTACAAACTCCTTTCCCTTCCCCTCCCCACAGCAGACATCCTGTGAGGGAGACGGGGCTGAGAGAGCTCTTGACAGAAACTGCTCTTTTTTCAAGAACAGCTCTTATCACAACTATGGCTTGCCCAAGGTCATCCAGCCAGGTGCAAGTGGAGGAGTGGGGAACCAAACCTGATTCTCCCAGATTAGAGTCTGTGCACTTAACCACTACAGATGGAAAGGAGGCACGACGCGTGCCGTGAGTGAGTCTCCAACTTTTCCAGACCTGGGACCTAACCTTTATCCACCGGCACAGCGGCATGAGACCCACTGAGCTTTAAGCGCATGACGGGAAGTTCTGTGACATCAGAGTCACACGACAGGAAGAGGGAGGCAGACTCATCCTCTCCCATGTCAAGAGAAGAACTCTCTCCACCATCAACTCTCTCCTCATCCCGCCGCCACCCTCTGTTCTCCACGCGCGCACACACCAGGAGCAAGTTCTCCTGAAAGCACCCCCAACAACAACAACAAAAACCGAGACTCTGTGAGGATTTGCAGCCCAGTAAGGGGGGGGCCAGGCCCGTAGCTATGCTGGGGGCTTTCGGGACTCTGCCCTTCACAGGTGAGGCACGCCTCACAAGACCTGCTGCCCCTTTCCCCCCTCCCCTCCTGTGACATTAAAGGGACCCGCCAGCTGACTGGCAGAGCACGTGGCCCACAGATCAGCTGACGGGCCCTTCAAATATTGCAGGAGGTGAGGGGAGGCACCCCTCCCTCCCCCTTTCCCCTCCCTCCTCCCCTGCTGCCCCACTAAATTTCCCATGCCCCACCAACCCAAATTTCCGGCTACGGGGCTGCTTAAAGGTGCCACTGTTTCAATGGCCAGAAAAGAAATGCAGACAGTGAAAACTGTATTTTATTTAACCAGTGGACTCCTACCATGCGAGCGGGCCTG